CTGTCTACCATGGGTGACCCTGCTGGTATTTAAAATACTGGTGGCATAGCTTTCAGAATCACAGCAACTCACAAGCCTCCACAGTATGACAAATTGACAGACGTGTGGTGGCAACATAACCTAGATAACAATAAACTCTGCTGAAGTTAGCCTAGCTGATTGATTATTTAAGTAGAAGACCTGAAAGAAATACTTACCGTCCATCATCTGTTCCCTCCATAACCAAAAGCAGATAATCTCGTCTTTGCCACTTGCTGCTAGAATCCGTAAAATATATTTTCCGCCCATCCTGAGTTATTGTAAGATCATTCACAAAGGACATTTTCTTTCCCTCAATTGGTGTATCAGAAGACAACAGCAGTTTCACTTCACCTGAGTTTTAAAAAGGAAAATAAAAAAGGCTTTCTTTCATTTATTGAATTTGGTTTTCAATAATTTCAAAATATTAATTAGCATAAATTGGCTTAATAAATAAAGCTATGAAGAGTGTCTTTTAAGAAGCAATCATTTACCATTGCTTCTTACTGCTTTATCTGGTAGGTGACAATTTGCTCAGACTAACTTTATTAAAGGCAGGAACACCCTCTTAGGATGAGGAACTTTTCATCTATTGATGACAGCGGACTTAAAAAAAGATGAAAATAACTTAGTTGTGTAAAAGGCAATTGAGTTCTATTTGTACAGTTGAGAAGGAGTCCTGATGGTGCAGTGGTTAGTAGCTTGACTTCTAACCTAAAGGCTGGCAGTTCACACCCACCAGTTGCTCTGTAGAAGACAAGACGTGGCAGTCCGCTTCTGTAAAGATTTACAGCCTTGGGAACCCTATGACGCAGTTCTAGTCTAGCCGAAAGGGTTGCTATGAGTTGGAAGTGGCTCAATGGCAATCAGTGGTCTTGGCTTTTTGGGTATGCTTGAGAAATAGAAAATAACCCATGCTATTTAAAAATCTACTTTTTAAATAAAGAGTAAGTACTAGTAGTAGCAGTAGTTGCTATTGATAAGGACTCCATTGGCTAATTTTCAGAAGTAGATTGTCAGACCTTTTCTTTCATCTGTTTTAGTTTGGAAGCTGTCCACCATGAGTGAATCCACTGGTATTTGAGATACTGGTGTCACAGTTTCTAGTATCATAGAAACACACAAGCCACTGAAATACAAACCATGAAAATGAAATGGAATAAACACTTGAAGACTGGTGCACTAGCCATCGATTCGGATTCACAGAGACCCTAAAGAACAGAGTGAAAGTGTTTCCTAGGATTTTCAATACTGCAGATCTTTTCAGGAGCAGGTGCAGTAGATGGAGGTTGTGTGCCATGGGATTAGTTCCGACTCATAGCAATCCAGCATAGGGTTTCCAAGGCTGGAAATCTTTACAGGAGCAGAAAGCCTCATCTTTCTCCTGCAGAACAGCTAGTAATTTCAAACTGCTGCCCTTGAGGTTAGCAGCCTCATCTTTCTCCCAAGAAGTGACTGGTAGGTTCGAACGGCTGATCTTGATGTTGCATAATCCACTACCCAGCAAGGGCCCCTGATGCAGGCATTAGTGAACTGAAATGAACTGCTACTGGTCATTTTGAATATTACAATTATGTGTCTACTATACCAGGAAAGACAAATTGAAGAGAAATGCACTGTACCCTCAAGACTTCAAGACCTACCCTGAAGTACAATGCTCTCTCAGTTAATAGGACTAGTACTCAAATTTATGAACCAACCACAAACGCTAAAGTTAATGAAATTAAGATATTTTACAAACTGCTGCAGTCTGAAATTGATCAAACATGCAATCAAGATACATTCATAATTACCAATGACTGAAATGTGCACGTTGGGAACAAAAAAGGAGAATCAGTAGTTAGAAAATATAGCTTTGGTGACAGGAATGCTGATGAACATTACACGATAGCATTCTGCAAGACCAGTGACTTAATCACTGGAAATGCTCTTTATTCACCAACACAAATGACAGCATACAAGTAGACCTCACCAGATGGTTTATATGGGAATCAAATCAACTATATCTGTGGAAAGAAAAGATGTTGGTGTTGTTAAGTGCCGTTGAGTTGTCTCCAACCCACAGCGACCCTGTATAGGGTTTCTGAGGACCAGCTGGTGAGCTTGAACCACCAACCTTGCAGTTCAAACGGTTTTGCGCTCTGGCACATTAACCCAGAGCACCACACAAGGACTCCAAAGAGAAGATGGAGAAGGTTAATATTACCAGTCAAGACAAAGCTAGATGCCATCTGCAGAAAAGATTATCAACTGTGTATATGCAAGTTCATACTGAAGTTACAGAAAATCAACGCAAATCCACAGTAAACCAAAGTATAATGTTGAATATGATGATGATGATGTTAAGTGTCATCGAGTCACTTCTGATTCACAGCAACTCTGTACAGGGTTTCTGAGGAACAGCTGGTGAGTTTGCACTGTCAACCTGACGGTTAGCAGTCCAGTACTTATTCCATAGCACCACACTAGGACTCTAACCTTGAATATTCCCTAACAGAATTTAAAGACCATCTCATGAATTTGACACATTGAACACTAATGACCAGAGAGTTGTATGATGACATTAAAGACATCATACATGAAGAAAATGAAAGGTCATTAAGAAGATAGGAAAGAAAGACCAAAATGGATGTCAGAAGAGACTCTGCAATTTGCTCTTAAGTATAGAATAGTGAAAGTATACAGAAGAAATAAAGTAAAAGTTGAATCAAAGATTTCAAAGAACAGCTCAAGACCACAGGTAAAGTTTTATAATGAAATGTGGAAAGACCTGGCATTAGAAAACCAAAAGGGAAGAACACGATTCACGACTGGCATTTCGTAAACGGAAAGAACAAAAAAGACAATTTAAGCCTCAAGTTATAATACTGAAGGTTTCTTTGGGTTAAAAATTGATGCAGAAAGCATCAAAACATGAAAAGAACACACAGTCACTATACCAAAAAGAACTCGTTGACATTCAACCATTTCAGTCTGATACTAAGAGCTGCTGGTAGTAAAGGAGAAAGTAAAGGTGGTGTTGAAAATATTGACAAAAAAAACAAGGCTCTAGGAATTGGGATGTCAACTGAGATGCTACAAGAAACAGATGCAATGCTGAAAGTACATACCTATGTCAGCAAATATGGAAGACAACCAGCTGGCCAACCAAAAGGAAAATGTCCCTATTTGTGCCCATTACAAAGAAAGGCGATCAAACAGAAGCAGACATCACTTAACAAACAACATCATTAATGTCACACACTAGCAAAATTTACTGAAGATAATTTTTAAATGACTGCAGTCATGTATCAACAGGGAATTCTTAGAAGTTGAAGCTAGATTCAGAAGAGGACATGAAATGAGGGATATCACTGCTAACGTCAGATGGATCTTGGCCAAAACCAGAGAATACCAACAAGATGTTTACCTGTGTTTTATCAACTATGCAAAAACATTCAATTATGTGGATCATAACAAATTAAAATTATGATAATTCCAGAATGCTTACACTGTACTCATTTGGAACATTTGCATGGATCAGGTAGCAGTTGTTAGACTAGAACAAGAAGATATTTCATGGTTTAAAATTGGAATTGGAAAAGACATGCAAGAGAGTTATATTCTTTCACCTTACTTATTCAATCTATATGATGAACAAATAATCAATAAAGATGAGCAGTGTGAAGAAGAACATGATATTAGGATTGAAGGAAAACTCATTAACCTCACATATGCCTATAATATAATCTTGCTTGCCTAAAGTGGAGATGACTTGAAGCATTTACTGATGAATTCGCCTGAAAAGAAAAAAAGAAAAAAACCTTACAACTGGACCAATAAACAACATTATGATAAAAGGGCAGAAACTGAAGTTATTCAAGATTTCATTCTTCTTGGGTTAATAGTCAATGCCCATGGACACAGAAGTCAAGAAATAAAACAACATATTACAGCAGGCAAATCTCCTGCAAAAGACTTCTTGAAAGTGTTTAAAAGCCAAGATATCACTTTGATGACTAAGGTGTGTCTGACCCAAGTCATGTTTTTTTCCTATCGCATCATATGCATGTGAAATCTGGACAATAAAGAAAAAAACAATGTCGAACTGATGCCTTCAAATTGTGGTGTTGATAACAAAAACTGAATATGCACAGACTGTAAGAAGAACTAACAAATGTCTTGGAAGAAATACAGCTGGCATGAGCCTTAGAAGGAAGGATGATACAACTTCACCTTGCTTACTCTGGACAGGCCATCATGACTGACAAATTACTGGAGAAAGACAGCATGCTTGATAGAGAGTCAGTGAAAAAGAAGCAGACTCATTCAGAGTGATTGACAGAGTTGCTACAACAGCCTCAAACAAGTTTTCCTTCTGTTATACATAAGGTTGCTATACATTAGGTGCCATCAAGTTGCCTAACAATAGCCATACTCACAGCAAGTTTTCATAACTAATAGAACCAAACATTTATTGAATATGAAGCTCTTTCCAGGAGCTCAGATGGCACAGATCTCATCTGAGAAACAAAAGGTTGATGGTTTGAACCCACCAGCTTCTGTGCAGGAGAAAGATGTGGCAATCTGTAACAATGACAACCTTGGAAACCCTATGGGGCAGCTCTACTCTGTCCTATAGGGTTGCTATGAGGTACAATCGATTGGATAGCAATGTGTATAATGGGTTAAGTGCTTTCCATGAAATCTCATATGAGGTAAGCACTATCATCAAGCCTATTTCAGGAGCAGCGGCTGCATAATTTGCATTGTCACAGAGTTAGTAAATATCAGAGCTGGGGTGTACCTGAAGTAAGCAGTCTGCAGTACTTGAGTTTAGGCCCCTTTGCCACCACCCACAAAACCAGACTCATTTATAGCATTAAGCTTCATTCGATAAAGCATCTTGAACAAATGCTGTGGGCTAATGCATCAGACTGCAAAGCCATTTGAACTGCAAGGTCGGTAGTTCAAGCTCACCAGCTGCTCTTTGAAAACCCTATACAGGGTTGCTATGGGTCAGAATCAATTCAACAGCACTTAACAACAACAGCTCAAGGTGATAGGCCTGCTGGAGAAAGAAAAGGCAGGTAGAAAAATGAAGCATGACAGAGGCAAAGAGAATGGAAAACAGGAAAATACTGAGAGACAGAGATGACCAGAAAAGTCATGATAGAAGGATAAATCTTCCTTGTCGAACATCACCAAAATGAGACTATCTGAAATCCTGTGGCTAAAACACAAATACCAGAAGAGGGCAAGGCCAAATATAGTAATGAGCAAGAGTTGCAAGGTGTTTGCTACTAGCCAGCATTTGTAAGCAGTGCTCTCATTGCTATTCAGACTGCATTTTAAATAAATTATATTAAATCTGCATATATTCATGTTGTTTAGAAAGACTAAAATGAGCACAGAAGACAATATATTGTTACATACGGTTCCAGGGATTTACTTCAAATAGTCCTTTGTAGGCATCAGCCACAAAAAGGGTCCTATTGGGCCCAGCACGAATGCCCAGTGGTCGTCCACAGGCAGGCTCATCATCTCGAGTTTCTAGGAAAACAAAGAGAAAGGAATTAACAGTTGGTCCAAGATCTACTTATGCCCTCCTCAGTGTCCTAATACCTCATCTGCCCCTCCATAAATATATATCATAGGCATTCCTAATAAAACTAAAGACTATGGCATCAGCATTCACACTGCCCTCACCTAGTACATATCCTCCTCAGAATCTCTGAGGGTTAACCCAGTGTCAGAGAGACCTCCCCAAAACATGGGCATAGGCACAGCATTGCTGCCTGAGAGCCTTTTCACATTAGTATCTGGGAACTGAACAGCTACCTTAGGGAATACAAGCAGGACTCTAGACTGACCTCAGAATCGTCCAGTTGGAATTTAAGCTCAACAGCCTGCTCTGAAAACTTATGCTGGTTATGAGAATGCTGCTGCTTTTCTCCACTGAAGTGAAAGAAGAGCTGCTACTTTACTCCTCAGGTTCATTCTCCTGCTCCATTACTAAGCTCTTTTTAACTCTGTGGCAATGCATGTTTACTGCCAGGCACTTACTGATTACTGTTAGGTGCTTACTGCGTATGTTTTCTGCCAAAATATAGAATGTAAACAGGAACCGTTAAAACACATATATCTATCTACACAAACACATATATCCTGGTGTGGCACTGTAGGATAAGCACTGGACTGCAAACCACAAGCAGTTCAAACCCACCACAGGGTCGTTACAAGTCAGAACTGACTCAATGACACTCAACAACAACAAAAAATGTGTGAGTGCCATCAATCAAAACAAACCCAGGGGCCAACTGTGGAACAGACTATCTATTGCTTATATGCAAGTTTAGGCTGACGCTGAAGAAAATAAAAACAAATTTACAAGTGTCACAACATGACCTTCAGTATCTGGTTGTTGTTAATTGCCTTTCAGTCAGTTTCGACTCATAGCGACCCCATCTAAGGTTCCAAGGAGCTGCTAGTGGGTTTGAACTACCAACTTTGTAGTCCAGTGCATTATCCTGCAGGGCTCTACCAGGAAATTGGAAGTCGTCAAAAATGAAACGGAATATATAAAGACCAATACTCATCTTAGAGCTAAAGTGAACTGGCATCGGACATTTTGAATTTGACAATCCTATCATTTAGGAGCTCTGGTAGCGTAGTGGTTACAAATTGGGCTGCGAACCTCAAGGTCAGCAGTTCAAAACTACCAGCTGTCCCACGGGAGAAAGATGAGGCTTTCTGCTCCCGTAAAGATTTACAGCCTTGAAAACCCTGTATAGGGTCCCTACGGGTTGGAATCGCCTCAACAGCACTTAACAACAACATCGTTTACTATGCCAGGAAAGAAAAATCGAAGAGGAATGGCATAGCATTCATTGTTAAAAAGACCATTTTAAGTCCTATCTTTAAGTACAATGTTGTCTGTGATAGGATGGCCTCCATATGCTTACAAGGAAGACCAGTTAATGCTATTACTATTCAAATTTATGCACCAACCACTGCAGCCAGTGATAATGAAACTGAAGAATGCTACCAATTTTTTAGGCTGAAAATGATCAAGAATGTAACCAAAATGTACTAATAATTATTGGTGAATGGAATGCAAAAGTTGGAAATAAGGACGTAGGATCAGTAGTTGTAAAATATGGCCTTGGTGATAGAAATGATGCTGGAAATCACACGATAGAATTACAGAAGACCAATGACTTATTCACTACAAATACTTTTTTAAACAACATAAAAGACAATGATATGTAGGAGAAGTGTGAAGAAGAGGCAAGAACAACCCCCGGATAGACCGAAGCCCGTGCATAGCCTCATCTCTGTGTCCAGCGCCTTTGCCCCGCCACCACTGCAAGCTCTCGGAGGCCACCAGGGAGCTGCAGCACGCCCCTGATGCAGTCCCCAAGAGCAGTGTGGAGCCCCTGCCCCTGGACACAGCCTGGGTGGAGGCCATGCGCAAGAAAGCACTGCTGAAGCTGGAGAAGCTGGACACGGACCTGAAGAACTACATGGGCAACTCCATCAAGAAGAGCATCAGGCATGGCCACAATGACCTGGGCAACTACTACCTGGACTGCGGCAACCTCAGCAACGCCCTCAAGTGCTACTCTTGGGCCTGAGACTACTACACCAGCGCTAAGTATATCATCAACATGTGCCTCAATGTCATTAAGGTCAACGACTACTTGCAGATTTGTTTATTTCAAATATCTTCTTTAGACAGCATAACAGACGACTATACACATGGACCTCACCAGATGGAACACATAGAAATCAAATTGACTACATCTGTGGAAGGAGAAGATGGAA